GGAGGGCAGCCGAAAACTCAGCCAGAGAAAGAGGAGCTTCCAGCCAATCCCAGTCACCCACGCTGACCCGCGGGAGTCCCTCCCACAGGGTCCGACAGGCTTCGGCATTGGTCGAGTCCAGGGATAAGAGCTCGTCGTAGAAGGCCCTCGCACGCCGGTGCATCTCACCTGGATCCATAAGGGGGGTGCCATCACCCACCAGAAGGCAGGTGATGTACTTCTTGACCCCCTGCATCCTCCTCTCCAGGGCTTTGAAGAAGCAGAAGCCACAGTCCATCTCCCAAAGGAGCTAGATGCACAAGCGGACAAATGCACCATGGGTGCAATGGTCATCCAGAACACGAAGCTTTAAAAAAGTTAAGCTTTTTGCTCCAAAACATGTTTGAACAAAATTACATTTCACAGCAAAACCCTTTGCAACAAAAGCTCAGTTATTCAAATGAAGAGCAGAAGCCATTTTGGAATCCTTAAGTCTTTGCTAAATAGAACTGTCATTTTCCATCTACCTTTAGAAGATACAATAAACGGCTGCCCAACAGCAGGCCTAGTAGTATGAGAAGATACTTTTTAGGAAGTGCTTGTAGACAGAATGTGGAGGAATGAAGCCTGAAGGTTGCCCTGTCTCTGATCTCTCCCCTTTCATGTTTGAATACTGAACAGTGTTGCTCCCAAAGCCTTGCTCAGCAAGTGGATCTAGAACACCAGAACAGTAGGTGGCATATATTCCTAAAGCCCTTTGAACAACACATATCACCACACGCAACTCAAACAGCCCTTTGTACATTATTATGAAAATAAAATTTGATATCTAAATATTAGTTTTTCAATGAGACTAAATGGACTTTATTACAAGTAACAACCGGGCTTCAGAAGAGAACCAAAATCCAAGGAGCCATTCACAGGATCATTACAGGATCCCAGCCACCAGTGAGACACCAAAATGTGTGTCTAATTGAGTTGCCACATTGCCTTATAGGAGTTTGAATTCAGATGCTTCGTGTCCCGTTCTTTTCTACAGGTCAGGCAACCTGAGTGAGGACACCTCCCACGATGTCCTGTAGCATTTCAGCCAAAGGGAAATGTTTGAAATCCATTAGGAGAGCAAACATTTATGCAAGAAGCTGAGCCCAGAGAGGAGCACAATGCCAGGAGGCACCTGAACCACAATTTCCTGAAATACTATTGCACCTTAGAGAGAGAGTCACCCTTTTGGGGTGGCATTGTTTTGTGGGGGGATGGAAGCAGGGGTGGATTGATGAGAAGATCCACCCAAATATCCATTTGTCAGACAGCATTTGGTTAAGAAGATTCACAGCCAGTTCTGCTCTTCACGCACAAGGAGGGACTTGTGGGGAAGGAGTGGAGGAGATTCTGGATTATTAAGGAGAGGCTTAGAACGGAAATGTTACTACTACAGTACATTGCTGGAGCTGTTGGAGACGACTGCTTGTTACACAGATAGGGCATTAGTTGTGGGAAGAAAACTTCAGTGCAAAGGGACATCCATGCATAACCTTCTGCCATCCCAAGACAAATTTCACTACAGGATTT